AACTTCTTTTAGAAAAAAAAAAAAGAACCCTTGAGCATGTATAGGTTTCAGTGGTGAAGCAAAATGTATTTAAAAAATAGGTAGGCTTGAGGAGAGTTTGAGTTCTCTCAATTTTGCAAAAGGAATGATGGAAAGAATTGGAAGTCATCTATCTTGCTTCTCCTTATTTCCAACACATTATTGAACCAAAGCAAACAAAACTATCTGTAACAGAATTCCACTAGAAAAAAAATTGCTGCTTTAAGATTTATTTATTGATTCAAAAGGCTGAGCTACAGAGAAAGAGAGATCTTCCATCTGCTGTTTTAATCCCCAGATGGTCACAACACCCCAGCCAGGCCTGAGCCAGGTTAAAATCAGGAGCCAGAAATACCATCCGTGTCTCCACGACTCAACTGGCTGAGCCACAATGCAGACCCCCGAACAATTTATTTTAATATCATTTATCTACAAGTAATGAGAAGTCTTTTCTTGTTAAAAATCTGCTGGACCTCCCTCACAAGAAAGAGACCAAGGCCAATAGGAAGTCCCGCTCCCTTCTGAGACTCCCACTAGTTTAAATCTTGTCTACAGGACTGAGGGTGAGGACATGTCAGTCATTTGGCACAAAGCAAAACACAACTCTAAGCAGAAATAAACAGTACAGCACTGGAGTACTTACAGGCAGGTAGCATGGGGTAGAGGTGGTCAGCAAGGACTTGCCTGTGGGGGCTGCCCAGCCTCATACAACTTGTCCAGTCCTGCTGAGCCTCAGTTCCCTCATACAGCGAGGGGAATGGACCCTACTTCCCAGGGTCTTTCTCATTGAAACTTCACATTAAGTTGGGGATAACCTGCATAGCCAGGTAGAATTATGGAAAACTTAATTCAGTCACTGGGTTCAAAGGAACAGTGAGAACCAGAATAGATGGGATAAGATGATGCTGCAACCAAAGTGAAATCCCTGGTTCTCAACTCATCGTCCAGGCCTTTCCATGGATTGCTGCCTTAGCAGAAAGTGTAGGTCACTGGCTGATGGGGGCAGATTCCCTCACATCTCCTGTGTCATGGTTCCCTGTCGCTGAGCCCCTAAGACTAACGCTTTGCTCATGGGTCTTTGGAAAATACTTTGCATAGAACACTCTTTATTGCATTTAAAGGGCTTCCAGGAATCCTGTATTTCAGGTCATGTCTTGTACTTAATGACTCTGTCCTTTATTGATTTATCAAGATAGCTTAAATGTTCTACATTCAGCTTGTAGGTTTTTTTTAATAAATTACAAAAATTCAGAAGTGAGAGTTCTTTTTATAACTTCACGGGGAGTCCTGTGTTTTATTTGCTAGTCTAGAGCTTTCCCTTTCCTCAGTGTTTTGCCCTCTTTGGCCAACATAGGCCTTGGCCCATGACAATGTATCTGACATTGAGGGAGACATTCATGCACACCTCATGTGACCTTCACAAGGGCCCTAGGAGAGAGTGGCAACAGTTCTCATTGTGCCAGTAAAACACTAGGCACAGAGTGAAGAACTTACCCAACACCATGCAACATCAAGTCCTGATGTCAGGCATCACAGGTACACAGCCAAAGGGTAGATCCAGGAACCCACGCTGCCTCAACCGAGTGGATGCTTAATCCAAGGCAGTGAAGCAACAAATCCAGTTTTAAGGCTGCACAAAAGTGAGGGCCATCTCTCTTGGCTCTTAAGGCTTTTTTTTAAAGATTTATTTATTTATTCGAAAGTCAGTCAGAGTTACACACACACACACACACACAGAGAGAGAGAGAGAGAGGTCTTCCATCTGATGGTTCTCTCTCCAATTGGCCACAATGGCTGGGGCTGCGCCGATCCAAAGCCAGGAGCCAGGAGCTTCTTCTGGGTCTCCCACTTGTGTGCAGGGGCCCAAGGACTTGGGCCATCTTCTTACTGCTTTCCCAGGCCATAGCAGAGAGCTGGATCGGAAGTGGAGCAGCCAGGTCTCGAACCAGCGCTCATATGGGATGCTGGCACTTCAGGCCAGGACATTAACCCACTGCACCACAGCGCTGGCCCTGGCTCTTAAGGTTTTGACTTGACAAATTCCTTTCAGGCCCCATACTTAGTTCTTGGGGTGCTGGTGAGGGTGAGCTGGCCAGGAGATACAGCGGGAATGGGAATGAGGCATGACACCCACTAGAGTTAGGGACAGAATCAAGAGAAAAGGGTAAGAAAGAGGTAAACCAGCAGAGCTCTGTACCACAGACAAGTATTAGGGGCAGGAGAAAAAGAGAAACTGTCAGTTCATAGGACTGGAGTGACCTGGGTGTGTGAAGCTATTTCCAGGTACAGCCAGGCATAGTGCCCGGGGCTTGCACAAGTTTTGAGGCCCATGAGAATATTTTAATTTTCTTTTAAATACAGAATAAAAAATGAATCTAGTATTAATGAATGTGTCATAGTGAATCCTGCCTGGATTATATTCATCTTTATATCATTCAATCATAAAATTTAATTTATAATATTTTTATGGAGAAAGAAGTCCATGAAGGCAGAAGTGGTCCTGCCTCAGGAGGAGAGTGTGTACCTCACCCTCACACAAAGCTGTTGCTGGGGCTGACTGCCTTGACTGGTGTCTGGGGTGCAGGTAATCACTGCTATGCTGCACTTTATAAAGTGCATTCTAGCGCTTCCTTGAGTTTTCTCAGAGGCCCCTCCCACCCCAATTTTGCTTCTGCCAGGAAGCATCTGCAAGACAAAGCAGACTCCCTTATCTCACCCATCATGGATTGAGAACTGGCCAGTGTAGCCAGGGGATGAGGAGAGAGGAAGAGGACTGAGGAGATAAGGCAGGCGCTGGCAGAGAGGGAGGATCGTGCTGGGGGTGCAGGAATTCTGCAAGTTACATGTCTCTCTCCCGTCACGGAGGATGCACTGAGCTGGAGCAACCTGCCCCTGCCAGTGCCTACTCTCCTTCTGCAGCTACTGGGGCTTGCATAAGGGCTAGAGTGAAAGGCTCTACAATAGTAAACACAGGCACACACCAACAGTTAAGTGAAAAGGACTTTATTGCAGTCTTGGGAATGTAATTGGGGAGACATGGGTTCAGAAAGCTTTGAAGAAGAGGTGTTGGGAGAACAGGACGAAATATGGGAGTTTATATGTTGAGAAGGAATAGGAGCTACAGGACAGATGGAGAATAATGCAAAAGATTTTGCTATGCATGGAACAGGATTTTAGTCCCCAGCTCATTCAGATGTTTAAACCCCAAAGTCTTATGATAATGGTTCATGGGTTAATGTTAGTGATTTCTGGATTAGGGGTAGAGGCTTGATGCAGTTATAGTGTCTGGGAGGTGGGCCCATTGGGAAATGTTTAGGTCACTAGGGGTGTGCCCCTGAGAAGTAGTTCTCCCAAGAGGATGCATCATAAATTCTGAGTTGGGTCTAGCTGCTCTCTCTGCTTCCTGGATCACCATGTGATCCTCCCTCCACCATCTTCCAGCCTCATCAGATACCAGAACAATTGGAGTTACCCAATCTTGGACTGTGAACCTCCAAACCTGCAAGCTGAAATTAGCTTTCTTCCTTCAGAAGCAGTTTCTCTTGGGTATTTTAGCTAAAGTAATTTAAATGTAAAACAGAATGGAAATGTCCATAAAACAAGAGCCCAATAACCTCTGGATTTATATCTTGAGCCTCTGAGTACAATATAGTTGTTCCTTTAGGTTGTTCTAGATCCCTGAAGTTCACATTTCATAAATAACTGGAGCCTGCTTCCTACAGCCCCCTAACTCCACTTTGCTTTCACTGTAACTTTTATTGTAATTTTCCTTTATTTTCACAACACATAGACAAACATACAATATACATATACATGTAGGCACACTCATTCTCACACATACATAGATCACACACATAGAAAGGAAAGGATTAGAAACAATGAAATATAGAAACAAGTAATAACATGGCTGGTGTTATGGCACAGTGGATTAAGCTACTGCTTGCAATGTTGGCATCTCATATCACGGTGCTTGTTCAAGTCCTAACCACTCCTCTTCTGATCTAACTTCTTGTTGATGTGCCTGGGAAGGCAGCCGAGGATAGCCCAAGTGCTCCCACCCATCTGGGAGAACCGGACAGAGTTTCTGGCTTGGATTTGGCCCAGCCATGGCCATTTCAGTGATTTGTGGAGTAAACAAGCACAGGGAAGATCTCTCTCTCTCTCACTCTTTGCTTCTCTCTCTGTTGCTTTTCCTTTCAAAAAATAATTAAATATTTTGCAAAAAATAAACAAGTAAAAACGTGATAGTCTTTCACTGGGGAGTGACAATTTTATAGGATTCTCTAGACCAAAAGCTAAAGAAATTTAAAAATGGAATAGCAGAGCACAGAGGCATCAGAGGGCTCATCTACTCTGCCTTCCTCATTTTTCTGACAGGATCACACATTGGCAGTCGAAGGTGCAATCTTCAATGATGACACTGCTGACACTGGTCATCAATAAGAGAAGTTTTCTCAAAGACAATGAGTGCAGCATCTGTGTGCTCACATATCCTACCACACACAGTGAGGAACGTGCCAGCCCTCATGTGAGAATCCCTCCCTGCCCCACTCAGACCCCACCTTGCTGTACACAAACTATCAGAAGGAATCTTCCCAAGAATGCAGGGAAACAAGGAAAAGAAATCAAGCAGCTTTCACCCAAAGCTCTGAGTAAAAGTATCAATCCCATTTCAAACGTGTAGATTCCTGGAAAGTAGTCACAGACTTCAGAAAAGACGTGTAACATATGCGTTGTGGGTGGATAACACACCCCTTCCTGGTACAATCTGAGGAACATCAAGAAGACCTCCATGTTCCCCGAGGATGCCTGAGCTTCCGTGATTATCTATTTCTTTTTCCTGGAAACTGTCTCTTCCAGACATGCTCCTGTAAATGAAAACGCTTCTAAGAGCTCCCAGGAGCACAGGGCAATGTCTTTCATAGGGAGCACAAATATACTGGAGACTAATGATAAAGGGCCTACCTCTGCAATCTTAACAGTGGTTGAAGAAACAGAGGATGTTTAACCTGGGGGACGAGAAAGAGCTAGCCCCCTACGATGAAAACTGGTTCTACACGCGAGCCGCGTCCACAGCGCGGCACCTGTACCTGCGGGGCGGTGCTGGCGTCGGCTCCATGACCAAGATCTACGGGGGCCGGCAGAGGAACGGCGTCATGCCCAGCCACTTCAGCCGCGGCTCCAAGAGCGTGGCCCGCCGGGTCCTGCAGGCCCTGGAGGGGCTGAAGATGGTGGAAAAGGACCAGGACGGGGGCTGCAAACTGACACCTCAGGGACAAAGAGATCTGGACAGAATCGCTGGACAGGCAGCTGCCAACAAGAAACATTAGAACAAGTGATGCTGGGTCAATAAATTGCCTCATTCGTTAAAAAAAAAAAGAAAGAAAGAAAGAAAGACTCTCCTTTGACCAAACTTGAATCAGGCTCCTCTGAGTTTTGTTTTTTGTTTTGTTTTGTTTTGTTTTGTTTTTTTGACAGACAGAGTAGACAGTGAGAGAGAGAGACAGAGAGAAAGGTCTTCCTTTGCCATTGGTTCACCCTCCAATGGCCCAATGGCCGCGGCGGCCAGCGTGCTATGGCCGGCGCACAGTGCTGATCTGATGGCAGGAGCCAGGTACTTCTCCTGGTCTCCCATGGGGTGCAGGGCCCAAGCACTTGGGCCATCCTCCACTGCACTTCCTGGCCACAGCAGAGAGCTGGCCTGGAAGAGGGGCAACCGGGACAGAATCCGGCGCCCTGACCGGGACTAGAACCCGGTGTGCCGGCGCCGCAAGGTGGAGGATTAGCCTAGTGAGCTGCGGCGCCGGCCTGAGTTCTTTTTATGATTAGTCCCTAACCTGTAGCTCTGTCCTAGGCCTAATTAGTCCAATTTAAACAACTTTCTTGAGTCAGTTTAGTGAACAACCCTCACCTTTGGAGTCTGATCAAATTCCTTATACCCCAACTCCAATAATTTACCACTTCAGCTGTCTTCAGCAAATATCCAATCAAATCAGTTTAGCCAGAGTATTAAGTCAGCTTTTTGGCACTACAATGAAGTACCTGAGGAATACAGTGAATAAAGACAAGAAGTTTATCAGCTCACAGTTTTGAAGACTCAAACCCAAAATTGGGCAAACTCATTGGTTTGGCCTCTGATTAGGATCACAGTGGTGAAGAATGGTGTGAAGGGGGAAGAAGAACCACATGGCAAGCCAGCAAACAGACAGCATGGCTGGGCCCAGCTCAGCTTTTAGCACCAACCTGGTCATACTTTCTGTGGTCACATCCTCATTGGTCTAGGGACCTTCCACTAGGCCCACCTCCTAAACCCAACAATCGAATTAAGTTTCCATCCTCTCAATGTTGTTAATTTACAACCTTGGGATTCTAACATCTGCATGTTTTCAGCAGCCAAATTCTGTTCAAACAGGAGCAGCCAGAATACCCCCACTTACCCTTGATGTTTTTTTCTTAGTGATTTTTCCATCTACTGACCCTGACCCTGCTCCTTGGCTATCAATTTATCTCCATTTGTCCTTGCTATATTCAGCATTAAGCCCATTCTCTCTCCCCTACTATAAAATCCCAGTTATAGCCCTCCTAAAGAAAGTCTCCCTTGTCATTCTTTAAGTGATATATATATATATGTATGTATATATATATATATATGTTTTCCTTTAACAAGGAAGAGAAGCAGCACAGTGAACGGAACCTAAAACAGCACTTCTCAATCAGCAAAAAGAGGATTCTGTCTATCTCAACTATAGTTCCAAAGGAATAACTTGTGATAAAAGGCTCAGACTTCTTCTGGTGGTTATAAAAGACAGGTTTTAGGTCATACAGAGCTAGGACCTATTAATGACTGATGCGTAGAAGTGACCAGAAGAAAAACATACTACATCAAAGGAAGAAAAAGGAATTTTTATACATCCTGGGATTAGAATACAAAATTATCCCTTAGATGGTTGGTGAAGGTTTCATGATGCAGGCTTAGAACAGTCTTTGTGCAGAAACTAGTAATGGAACTTCAGAATTTCCAAGAAGGTTTGGAAGTCCATTTGTGATCAAGGTGACCTCTGACTCTGCAAAGAATTTCTGTGGAAGATACATGGAGTCTATATTACATCACCCAACTGGAAGTAAAGACAAAATAGCCAACCAAACTGACAACTGAAGACCTATCTTCAGGAAAAAGCCTTTTACCTTGAAAGGCAGTCACCATACTGTGGCAAAAAAATATTCTACATGAAGGAACTCTGTGAGTGAGATCCCAGTGGAAAGAAGTGGCCATCAAAGAAGGAGGTACTTTTCTCTAAAGGGAGGAGAAAACCTCCACTTTGCTTATGGCCTTGTCCAAATAATGACAGTTTGTGGATTCAAAAGGCTTCCATAGCCTTGGCAGCTCATGTCAAGAGCCTTGGGTGATCACTGATGTCATACATAAGAGTGTTAATTGTTAAATTAACATCAGGAGTCACTGTGCAGTAACTTCCTATGCAAGACCTCTGTCCTCAATGAGTGGTATTGAGAGTTAACTTCTAAAACCAGTTCTCAAACAGTTTTTTTTCCTGTATGTGTGTGTATGTGTGTGTGTTTGCAAATTGTTAAATCTTTACTTAGTATAGAGTTGGTCTTCTGTGTACAAAGTTAATTGAAAATGAATCATGAGGCCAGCGCTGTGGCATAGCGGTTAAAGCCACTGGAATCCCATATGGCCACTGCTGGTTCGAGTCTCTGCTGCTCCTGGCTGTTGCAGCCATTCTGGGGAGTAAACCAGTGGATGGAAGATATTTCTCTCTCTCTCTCTCTCTCTCTCTCTCTCTCTCTTTCTTTCTCTGCCTCTCTGTAACTCTTTCACATAAAATAAATAACATCATAAAAAATAAAGAAAATGAATGGAGAATGAGACTGGCAAAGATAAAGGGAGGAAAAGGAGGCGTGGGAGCATGGGTGAGAGGGCTGGTATGGTGGGAAGAATAGCTATATTCCTAAAATTATACTTATAAAATTTGTATTCCTTAAAAATAAATTTTAAAAAATTCTGAAAGCAAAAAAAGAAAGGCAGTCATTAAAAGTGACAGAAATAACTAGCCTACCAGATGCATAAATATCGCTGTAGAGACACAGAAAATATTAAGCAAGACAGTATTATGCTCTCAAAGGAACAAAATTATGTTTTAGTAACACACTCCAAGAAAAAGGAAGTTGACAAACTACCTGATAAATGATTCAAAAGAATGATTGTGATAATTCTCAAAGTGATAAAAGAAAATATAGATCGTTGAACAAAAGCAGGAAAACAGTGCATGTTATGAATGAGAAATTCATCAAAGAGATAGAGACCTTTAAAAAGTATGAAACAAGAATCTTGGAAATGAAGAATTCAGTGAGTCAAACAAAAATACAGTTGAAAACCTCAACTATAGACTAGATCAAGCAGAAGAAAGAACATCTGAATTTGAAGATAAGTCTTTTGAAGTATCCCAGTCAGACAAAAAAAAGAAAAAGATAAAAAGAATGAAGACAGCCTCCAAGACTTTGGGGATGCCATTGAAGAAACAAATATTCAAATATGGGAATTCCTGAGGGCAAAGAAAGGTGCATAGGCTTAGAAAATCTGTTCAATGACATAATAGCTCAAAATCTGCAATCTGTAGATGACTGTGGACATTCAGGTATGAGAGGCCATAGAACCTCAAACAGACATGACCAGAAAAGATCCTGTGACACACACTTGAACTCGCAAAAGTACAGCACAAGAAGAGAATTCTAAAGTCTGCAAGAGGAAAGTGTTCCAAGTCAGTTTTAAGGAATCATCATTACATTAAGAGCAGATTTTTCAACAGAAGCTTACAAGCCAGCAGGGAATGCCGTATCCCATGTTTTGAATGAAAAGAACTGTCAACTAGGAATACTTCACCCAGAAAAGTTATCTTTCATAAATGAAGGAGAAATAAAGACTTTCCAAGACAGGCAAAAGCTGAGGGAATTTCTCACTACCAGACCAGCCTTACAAAAAGATGTAGAGAGAGCCAAAAAAAAAATAATAATAATAATAATAACAGTCATGAAAACATGTGAAAGTATAAAACCCACTAGAAATAGAACAGAGGATATTGAAAATAAACAAAATAAATATTTTCAATAATAAGCCTACATCATCAGGGGCTGGCACTGTGAGTAAAGGAGCAGGTGAAGCTGCTACACGCAGCACTGGCTTCCCACATAGGCGGCAGTTCCAGACCCAGCTCCTCTACTTCCAATTCAGCTCCCTGCTAATGTACCTGGGAAAGCAACAGAGGATAGCCTAAGTGCTTGGACCTCTGCACCCACGTGAGGGACCAGAAGAAGCTCCTAGCTCCTGGCTTCAGACTGGCCCAGCTCTGACCATTGCAGCCATTTGGGGAGTGAACTAGCAGATGGAAAATCTGTCTGTCTGTCTCTCTCTGTGTGTAATTCTGCCTCTCAAATAAATAAATAAAAGACTAAGTCATTAATTATCAATAATTTTCTTGAATGTAAATGGGCTAAATTCCCCAATTAAAGAATAAAACTGGGGGCCAGTGCTGTGGCATAGTGGGTAGAGCCGCCGCCTGCAGTGCTGGCATCCCATATGAGTACTGGTTCAAGTCCCGGCTGCTCCACTTCTGGTCTGGCTCTCTGCTGTGGCCTAGGAGGGCAGTGAAAGATGGCTCAAGTCCTTGGACCCCTGCGCCCATGTGGGAGACCCTGAGGAAGTTCCTGGCTCCTAGCTTCGGATCAGCACAGCTCTGGCCATTGCAGCCAACTGAGGAATGAACCAGAGGATGGAAGACCTCTCTCTCTCATACACAAATCAATAAATATAATACATCAACAGAATGAAGGGTAAAAAACCTGAGATCATCTCAACAAAAACAGAAAAATTATTCAATAAAACTCAACCCCCATTCATGATAAATCCCTTTAAAGATTAGAAGGAATATGCATCAACATAATAAAGGCTGCTTATGACAAACCCAAAGTCAACATAATGCTGACTAGAGGAAAGCTCAAAACATGTCCTATGAGATCTGGAGCCAGACAATGATGTCTACTTTCACCACTCTTATTCAGCATAGGACTGGAAGTTTCAGGCAGAGCCATTAGGCAAGAGAAAGAAATTATAGGCATGAAAACAGGAATAGAGGAAGTCAGATTATCCCTGTTTGCCAATGACATGATTCCATATAGAGAAACTTAAAGACTCCATCAAGAGATTATTAGAACTGATAGAAGATTAATTCAGTAAAGTGTCAGTAAAGAATACAAAGCTAACACACAAAAGTCAGTAACATTTTATATACCAATAGCAAATACACTGAGAAAGAAATTATAAAAGCAA